CACAGACAGACAGACACACACACACACACACACACACACACACACACACACACACACACACACACACACACACACACACACACACACACACACACACACCCATAAACACACATAAAAAAAATCAATCATGGCTGGGGAAGAATCCACTCGGGAGACATACACACAAGAGCAAACTCTAATATAGGTATTTCATTGTTAGACTACAAAATGAAATCTAAACTATTGTATTAGATCAATCTCACACATTGCAACTAATTGTATTTTTTTTTGTGGTAGCATCCCTAAAACTGTTTCATTGTAATTTGTAATATTTCCTTGAAGTACTTTTTAGTGAAAAAATGATAAAAAAGATGAAGATTGTCTATATTACTGTGTAATGTTGTTATTATTCTGCTATTAAACTGCACATCTGAACTTTGATTAGTTAATGAAAGCATGAGCTACTTTTAATATTTTGTATTTGTCTTTCTTTCACAATATATTCAAATATATATAGCAATACGTGTCTGGATCATTTCCTTTTTTTTCCATAATTCTGTGAATTATTTGTGAGTGCATTCTGGACATTTCATGTTTGCTTGCATGGCTTTCGATATATGAAAAATAAGACTAAAAATGTAGAATAAGTAATTAAGAAGGAAAAAGTTTAAGAAATTTCTTAATAAAACACATTCAGATTTTTTATGGTACTCATATATTCTAGTAGCTCTATGAGACAAAACAATTTTCTTGATAATTCATATTCAACCAACACTCAGATTAATGCCTAAGTGGGCAGTGCATGTGTCTTGGTGTGATATAAATGTGTTCAATTTGTTACACTTCTTTTAGTAATAAGCAAATGAAATTACAACAGGCAATTGCTGACAAATTAAACATTTTGTCCCAGGTAGTTTTCAGAATTAAAATCAATATTCCTTATTATGTCACTGCTATGTTCACATTATCAAAAGCCATCCTGGCAGGTAATATTCTTGACATCTTGTCATTTGATAGAGCTTTTAAGACTTTTCTGTTGTTGTGAAGTGTTGTAAATCTGTACCAATGTTTCTTGTCAAAAAACATTGTTTTAGTTTCATTAAAAAATCAACAATAATTCTAATCAAACAAAGAATCTAAAGAAAACAATGATAAAGAAGCAAAAATGTTATTTTAATACAATGATACTTGATAATAGAAGCATTATTCACAAATGGCAACATGACCAATAGATCATATCTGGCCAACTGGGGCATCGAGAACCAGCACGGGCCCCAGGGCAATATACTTCACCAGATTCCAGCCCTGTTATCTCTCTATGTAAATCTTCTTAAAAACTATCTAAGTATATATCAAGGACAGAAACATGCTCATGCACAAAGCAAAATAACAACATCCATTTTTTCAGCTCACAATGAAAGTATTCATTGATATACAGTCATCTTATTAACTGACAAAAAGATATATCAATTAGTACTCAGATTAAGGTATCAGTTACTGGTTGGGAAGTCAATTTTGATTTCTAAGAACAAAAATAGTATATGCTTTTTAGCATTTTTACAATGACCAATGAATTCTGAAACGAAAATAAAACAGAATAACTGTAAATTTCGAGCAATGATAAATGGATTTATAAGTTAAAAGATGTCTTTCAGTAATCTTTAATACAGAGGCGACTCTGAAGAAACCAGGCTTTTCATATACAGTAAAAATTCAAATAATGTAGAAAATGGTTGATAATTTGTACTATTTCACTAGCACAGACAATATAGAGCCATATTAATGTCTAGTGCTACAGAGCAGTACCTTTACATGTTATTTATTTCCTGGTATTGTGGCTGCTCCCTAGAAATGCTAAGAATTAAAATGCATCTTCACAGGGATTCCCACATACTCAGAGTATCAGGTATAGTTTCATAATATTTTGAATTATGAAAAAAGACTCTAGCATTAATGCTGACTATGTATTTGGTATTTGAACTGATACAGCTCTAGTACAGTTTGAATGCATTAAAGATATAAGCCTCATATTTGTTTTGTTGAAAAGTAACTGATTAAGGTATGTATGGTAAGAAATGTCAAATTATCATTATTATCAGATAATTTTAACAAAACAGATTAACCTAAGCACATTTATAAATCTCAAGTACTTTTTTACCACTTACTTTAATCTTACATAAAAAGGTTTTCATGAATTTCCAACACACATAACAACATAAGATACAATTAATATACATGTAGGTATCCTTGCTTCAAGACACAGTGTAAAATAGTATAACAGTATGAAAGATAATGATTTGGTATTTGGAAAATGAAGGGTAAACATACATACAAAAAACAAAAATACAAAAAATGAAATATCACATGCGAATTAGTTGAGAAACAGGCATGACAGGGATAAGAAAATAACTTTGCCTGCTGAACATATGCCAGTTTATTATGTGGACACCGTGACCATACAAGGACAATATACAGGGGACGGGTGGGACGCTGCAGCCTTCCCAAAGCCACATGGCTGGCCGGCTCTTTACTGTAGAGCTTTGAGCTTGTTACCAGAACACAGATCTTGAGGCCTGAATTACAGTGGACATGGGGTTGTGATTCTGACTAGTGCTCATGAACCTGGTGTAGAGGTAAGAAATTGTACAAGTAAAGTTCCAGCAAGGCAGTGGGTCCCTTTCCCTTCCAGATAGTTTGGCCTCTATGGTTTTTGAATTACACTGGGTGACGAGATACAGAAAGGCAGTTAATGTGGAAAGTGGAGCACTGGAACCTTGGGTCGTACAAAGTGAGCCTCTGGCATGACTCCTGACGTACATATCCAAAAGGGTACTCCATGATGACACTTCTGGTTCCTTACAAAAACAGGCGGGCACCACCCAACATTCCCGCTGACACGTAAGGCTTGCAATTAACATTTTGTGCACTTAAGTGACATGAATTTACACCATCAGGTGAGGTGAACAAATAAAATCTGAAATACATAAAATTGAATATATATAATATATATATGTATATTATACATTTATCTACTAAACACTATATGAATACTAACAACATATTCAAAGTTAAAGTTTGTCAACAGAAAACATCTGTTAAGTGGTTGGCACAAGTATTGATTAAGGTGTCAAGAGTTAACTGGAGGCTGGTCCAATGATACAGACATTACATTCTGAGATACATTTGCACGGGGCTGCACATTCAGTCAGGAAACTGCCTACCAGCAGCACATACAAACTTACTTTGATAATATGTAATGAAAATAAATGTGGTTCATCAATAAATACGACTGGGTAACTCAGTCTGTCTACCTATGGAACACTACAACCTTATGAAATTTAAGACACCATGTATGCACATCATAAAAATCTACCTAATCTTTGGTTCATCAGCCCACATGTGAACAGTGGGCAGACATCACATCTTGACTCACATCATTGCCTGATAAGTTACAGTGTTACACCCAATTGGGGACTGTCTCCACACTGTTGTCAAGTGTCAGGGCCACTCGACATTATCACCAAAAACCACCACTGTTTACATCTTACAGTTTTCATCACAGAAGATGCATGTAAGCATCTTCCACACCGGAACAATTAACACTAAATATCACTGGTCACTCGGCAAACAGATGCTTGCCTGGCAAACCCACTGCATGTGGGATTGCTTGAACGGCACTCCGAAATGCAAACACAGTTGACCACACTCACAGTATCTGGGAGGCATATGAGGTCTGCAAATGATAATAAAAGTGTTTCTATATTTCTTTTACATCCTCTCACAGCTTCTTATCAGGTGCACAGAACTCTATATGCTCCCTTTTTTATTTCAACTCATTATTGTTTTTTATTATTATTATCATTATTATTAATATTATTTTTTATCTTCCCTTTTTTCCTAGGTTATTTTACTTCTGTGTCCTCCTCCATTGGCTCTTCTTCATCATTGGAGGCTTCATTGGCTGGACTCTTGGCAGGAGGTTCAGGACTCCTGAAAAGTAAATTAAGTTTAACAAAGTAGATTTAAAGGCAAGCTGCAATTTACATCTGTTATTTCTGATACTGCCTTTGCCATGTGCATAAAGCCAATCGGCACAACATGTCAATACTGTCAAAAGATACTTAGATATAATGAAATTAAGTGGCAAGTCACATTCAAGATGTATTCTACACATATTCCCAAGCAAAATATTCTTAAAAAATCAGTACATACTGTGTCTGATGCCCTTGGTGATCCACTCTCAGAGAGGCCATTGCAGACACAGTCTCCTGCTCTTCCTCTCTGCCCTGAGCCTCTACCATGGACAGCATAATCATTCCACTCTGGCGACGCACAACTGGCCAATGACCACTCTGCAGAACATAAGAACACTGCATCACTGCATTCAAGAATTAAATTATCACAAAAATAGAAATTTCCACTCACTCTTTTAAAGGATCTCTTTTTTTTTGCAATACATTCCAAATAACATTGGATAACAAATATTTTACCTACAATACAACAACAAGCTGAATCCCGAGTTGTTTCTTATCGTTATCTCACCTGTACAGCAATGACATTTTGTAGAGTTTCAATAGCATTCTGACAAGGAGGTCTTGTCATCTCATGCTGTGACAATGGAGGAGGATCATCACCAGTCAGAGTACGAACACAAGCCTCTGTCGCATCACAAATACTGGCTAAGTCATAGCCTCCTTCAAGGGCTAACACAACCTGTAAGAACCAATCAATCATTATCATGTGCATGATTCATGCTGAACCAACTGTAAATAGCACAACAAAGGGAAAGACAAGAAAATGCACATATATGCTGAAGGCCTTTTCACTGTATTGCTTCTTCAAGGAATGAAGAAGCAATAAAATGGAAAAAGAAAAGCCTTCAGCATATTCAAATATTTTCTTTGTTCTTTTATTTATGTACAATATCATAATTCAATTAATTCACAAGACAAATATCTCACATAGAAAGACAGACAGACAGACACACACACACCTTTCTGAATTCTGAATGTAATATAAGAAATAACAATAACAATCAAATCATAAAGTATTTATTTTCATATACTCAGATCTACAAGGCATAAGCAAAGGAAAGTAACAGACCTTGCCCCGAGCAACTGTCATTAGCTGTTTTGTCATGTGGGCAAAGCAGCTGGCAGAGACTTTGTAGCCTCCAAGAGGTGAAGGATGTCCATCGGCTGCATCAAAGCCTGCACTTACTAGTACGATATCTGGGTCAAAGTCCTGCAAAATTAATGCAAAATAAGTTTTCTGAAAACACCTTAGCATGATAAAAACATTTAAGGATCAAAGAAGAAAGAGATTTGATCACTCTTTTGATACTACTTACCTTGGCAATAGGCATGACAATGGTTCTAAAGGCAGCCATGTACTCTGCATCCCCCATTGGAGGGTTGAGGCCGCCTGAATAAGCAATGTTTACATTGAATCCATAACCATCTCCATCACCAACCTGCAAAGGATATGAATATGACATTTTCATTCCTACAGCCTAGAAGTCTGAAAATAGCAATTATGTGATGTAATTTACATCAATATAAAGATATATTTGGCAAATCTCTAACATCTGTATATACAAACATAAAGACAAAGTATGGCTAGTAATAATGATAAAATGTAAAAAATCATGACTGTAAAATTAACAATATCTACAAACCTCAGTGGGGGCACCAGTTCCAGGGAAGAAGCTCCCATCATCATAGCGATGCATGGATATGTACAAGATGTGTGGGTCATCGTAAAACAGAGACTGGGTACCATTTCCATGGTGGACATCCTGTCAGTGGAATAAAATATTGCAGTTTATGACTGCATACGACTACCAACAAATATGTAAAAAACTTCAACTTATAGACAATAAACATGCACTTAAAAGTCTTATCTTACCCAGTCAACAATGAGGATTTTCTCCATATTCAACTTCTGCTGTAACTGTCGAGCAGCAATGGCAACAGAATTGAAGAAACAGAAACCCATGGCTTGTTGGTGCTCAGCATGATGGCCTGGGGGTCTCACCAGTGCAAATCCATTCTGCAGTTCTCCAGTTGCAACTAAAAGAGAGAAGAAATACTTCTAGTAATAGTAGTAAGGATAATAAGGTACTATCACAATATAGAACGACTGACTAAAGATAGCACATATTTTTCCTTCTTTTAATAATGAAAAGAAAAATGGGAAAATCTATTGATATTTATAAATCTGCTACTAATATTTTTGAGACTCTAACCTTTGAATGCTAAGTCTATAACACAGCCAGCAGCCATCCTGGCTGCAGATGATGTATGCATTTCATTCCAGGTTGTGTCTGAGTCCACACCAACGCCACCGCAATGTAGACGTACAAAGCTTTTGATGGGCAACTCAGAGAACTTGCTCATGTCTAAACGCTGCCTATTCCAAGGATTTGTTCCTGCAAGATGGAAGAAAGTTGTATGGGTTTTATCTGAAAATCCATTCTTATAAAGTGCACTACTAAATATATATAAGAACAAAAAAAGACAATGCACTTGGGATATACTAGAGAAAATAAAGAAATTAATACAAATTCGTTCTAGCTTACCAAATAGGAGTGTGTGAGCCTCACTATGGCAGGACTGTATTTCCTCCAGGGTTGCTTTACGGGTTCGTAGTCTATTGCAATGGTGAATCAGTCCTGTTTCCTGTAGTCTGGCCCACACAGAGTGAAGACGACCTCCATGTTCTGGATGGTGAGAGTTATCGCCACAGACGCACTGGTGTTTCAGCATTAGATTGTCAAAGGCAAGCCCGGTTGTTGCTCCCTGGTTAAGAGTGTGTATTATGAATTATTAAAGAGTGGTCATTGAAGGTATAATTTGGTAATATAAAAATGTATTACTTTTCCCATAATGTAAAAGTAGGCATACCTTCTTAACATACTTAATCAAATGATTACTCTTTATGGTAATGTTCAACCAAATCAAACGTCAGATACAGGAATGGCAAATACTTGAAATTTTCACTGTAATAAGAATAGTTTCTTACCTGTTTGCTTATATTAATAGGCTCTTGGGGTGAACCCTGTGGAGAAAGGGTGACCAATGGAGAACTGAAAGCCCTGGCAAGAGGCCGTGCCATGTGACTGCCTGATCGTGCGGTGAAGGCTGAACCTATGGAATGAGAGATTTATAGCATAAATATACTAATATGAGAAGTGAAATTGTATTGGTTTATATACATGCATCATGAATAATATTTACTAAGATAGTCTGATAAACATATTACCTTTTATCAAAATATTAACTGTTCTATCAAACCCTTCTCTACCATGCTGATACCCCACGCCCTCCCTCTCCACTCTCCGTTGAACCAAATTCAAAGTCAAGGTTTATCAAGGTTGATAGTAACTATTATGACAATCAATACCCCAAGATATAGTAAAATTATTACATCTACAAAAGCAAAACTCCAAAAGGATTACTAATATCAGAGAACTTCCTCACTTGTTGTGGAGTGTAAAGGTGGAGGTTTTGCTGTTAGTAAGTCACGATGCTGCAGGAAAACTGCTCGTTGCTGCCTGGCTATCAGGCTCTCCTCTATCTTGCGTTCTGTCAGATCTATCACCTATGGGATGAAAGAAGTAAATGATGCAGGCATTCTTTTTAGTTGTTTATGTGTAGGTAATTTCATTTTACATGTTATCAGAGATTAGGTTGTTAATTTGTTGTTAAACCAATAAAATAAGTAAGGATTAATGTAAATGTTAATATAATTACCATACTTGGCCCTTGTATGCCTTTGGCTTTTAAGTTGCAATCGTTACAATTAGGAACTCTATCTATATTAACCATACTTTCTTGTATCATAGTAATTGAAAGTATCATTTTGGAAATCAGCTTCTGACTCTGTTTTAAAAAAAGGTACACTATATGGTATAAAAAATAACATCTGGAATCTGATTCCACCATGATTACAAAAACAAGTATAGCAAAACCCCAAAGAATTCAAAATGTGAGGGAAACAACACCCTACCATGACCAGAACCAATACTGCACACGAACATATCACCACTGTTAGGTGTGACTTCTCCTGCAATGCAACACTCAAGGATGCCTGTGGGACTCACCTCTGGTTCCTCCTCATGCAGTGCCTCCTCTTCTTCTTCCTACATGCCATGAGGATAGCACACAGGGAAAGGGGGGAGAGGGGGACAAAACACACACTATTAATCCTCCAGAGGAAGAAAACATCATGGTGCACAACACAAGCTCTCTCTGGGTCACTAATGCTCACGAGAGGATATGTTTGTCTTTCATTTAGTTACTTTCAGTGCTTTTAAGGAAGATAATTATGATAACATGCTACTCATGTCCATGGCATGAATGCATTCACAGGAGTTATAATTATGTCTTTAATCATGGTGTAACTGCTTTTTATTTTCATGATCATTATTACATTTTAAAAGTTTATTCCCTGTATATACAGTTAATGTGAAGAAAGTATATCAGATAATTCATTTGCTGTATCAGATAGCAATAATGACCTTTTTATATCTGCATTGATATGAAATTACTCGACTGTAGTCAATGAAGTCAATATTTGCCTTCATAATCGAAATGAGATATATATATGGTAGAATGCTCAATTATCAAACACTTCAGCAAAATCAAAATGATAGTTAAGTGAAATAACAAGAAAAAAATCATATAATTACTCTCTTTTTATGAAACTAAGACCATTTGTTCTTTTACAAAATAGACATGTGTATATTTGATAACAATACAAAATTATTCATTCTCTTTGAAAAGATAAATCAATTATGATGAACTTTACTTTTATTAGTAAACTAAAGAAAGAGTGGAATATTTCTTATGAATCAAATAACACGACTATTCTGTGTATATTTTATAGGTGTGTAACAGTATATAAATGAAAATATTAATATCGACAAAAGCAAACTTTATCTGTATTAAGTGTGTATATACAATTTATTTGGCATGCATACACTGTAAACATTGTCGTCATTTTTTCATGATAGATTTAATTGTGTAATTTTTTCAAGAAATATTTCTCTTCAACTGATCCTCTGGACAAAAGAAATTTTGTTCCATGTCAGGTAATTCAGTCTTTTTTAACCAATCTACAAACATTGGGATTAAGTCCCTACTCTCTAAAATCCAAAACATAATTAATCAATGTAATTTTTTTTAAAATCACAGCAACTTTACAAATCACACATCTAACATGATTAGTAGAGCAAAGAAAAACTGAAAAAAAAAGATATGAAGAAAAAATATGTACATTCACAAGTAGTACAAAAAGAAAAAAAATCAACAAAGGGCAAAAAACAAGGAGTAAAGGAAGATAGAATAAAAAAAAAGGGAAGAGGAAAGATTCATTACAAAAAGGAAATCAAGAGAGAGAAAATATTGACTGACCTCCGGTGTTTTTTCATGTGCAATGGCTTGGGCAACGGCTGCCTCTGTTTCCTCAGCAACGTTCTCCACATGGTTGTTGCTTCCCTTCCGTATCAATACTGTCTGTCGAATGTGCTGTGGAGAGAAGGCATGATGGTTAGCTATGATTATGCTGTTTTCATGTGTAATGGAGAGAGAAAAGATACAGACCATGGAAAGGAATAGATCAAATTACTGCTTAATGTAAGAGAAGATTTAAGATGATTAAAAAGAGATGAATAATACTAAACTAATATAAAGAAAAAATAAAGCTATCCATGTCAATGAAAGTAGAGGTCAACTGGAAAGAGATATCTGTTAATGTCTCTTTCAATTTTCCATAATGACAGCTTTTGGTATACTTATGACTCTCATATTGATTCACAATTAGTTATTCATCAAATAATGTGATCAACATAAGGGTTATATTCATTTGGTTCCTTGCCATATATGTTTTTTTTCCTTTATATGCATATGTGTATACATGAGATGTGTGTGTGTGTGTGCATAATCAAACACATACACACATGGAAAACTACTAAATCATTCCTTGAAACCTGATATCTGTTAACATTATATAAAGACAAGGAGGATACTTAATTCATTAAAATACATGACCCTCACATCATGAGTTCATAACATTCCTGGGTTTTATCTGGTTCTGCTTCCCGTGTGGTGTGTGTGAGCCAGAACAGCTCAGCATTCTGGACTCTTCCCAGAAAAGTCATTCATTCACTGTTCCTAGTTGGCACTAGGCTCTCATAAACATTTCTTCTTAACCCTCACTCTCTCTTCTCTTTCATTCAACATTCATTAAGCACTGAGAACATGTAACCAACTAAATGTTTACTACAGGTTTTGTTGTCATTTGCACGCTGAAATACTCAACAATGGGAATAAACAATTGAAGTCCAGTTAAGGATGGTATGTGTGCGTGTGTGTGTGCTTGTGTGTGTATGTTTATATATACGTATATATATAAGTATGTATACATGTATATATGTATATATGTATATAAGTATATGTATATGTATGTGTGTGTGTGTGTGTGTGTGTGTGTGTGTGTGTGTGTGTGTGTGTGTGTGTGTGTGTGTGTGTGTGTGTGTGTGTGTGTGTGTGTGTGTGTGTGTGTGTGTGTGTGGGTGCGTGTGTGTATATATGTTCATATATATATATATATATATATATATATATATATATATATATATATATATATATATATATATATATATATATATATATATATATTTACATACACATTTATATCTATATACATACATACATTTATATTTATGCATATGTTCAATTATATATATATATATATATATATATATATATATATATATATATATATATATATATATATATATATATATATATATGTATATATATATTCATACATATATATGTATGTATGTATGTGTGTGTGTATATGTGTGTATATGTGAATGTGTGTGTGTGTGTGTGTGTGTGTGTGTGTGTGTGTGTGTGTGTGTGTGTGTGTGTGTGTGTGTGTGTGTGTGTGTGTGTGTGTGTGTGTGTGTGTGTTTGTGTGTGATTTAAATTATATAAATATATACATTATGTAAATATAGATATATATACATACACATGTATATAAACATATATATATATATATATATATATATATATATATATATATATATATATATATATATATATATATATATATATATATGTATATATGTATATATGTATACATGTATACATGTATACATGTATACATGTATACATGTATACATGTATACATGTATACATGTATACATGTATATGTGTATATGTATGTGTATGTGTGTATGTATGTACTGTAAATAAAAAGAAAAAAGAAGGAACACTTGGATTTCAATACTACCACAATAGCCATTCTCCTCCATTCACACTTGCCTGCAACCAACCTTTTACACTGACTTTTGAATATTCTAAGTGTGAGCAACTATGCTATGCAATCTATGCCTGGCCACCCACTTGCACACTACAAGCACCTTCCAAAATGTTGTCTAATGCTCCTGCCAACTCCCTTGCCTTCTGTAAACAGCGCTCTCCTCTTCAGAAGGATATTCTTTAACTAAATCTGTGAAACATATGATGATGACTTCCAAGAACTTCTCTTGACTGCCAACTACACTGTAACTGATCATAATCACTGAAAATACACTGCTTTGTAATCCAAAAAAAAATTATATAATTTTCAAAGTTCAGATTTCACACTAAAGTTAAAGTTTGACAGTATGATCTTTAGTTAAAAATGTGCTCATTTCCCAATCAACCAAGAATGCAACACTGATCATTCATTCTAATAATATTCAACTATTCACCTTCCTTTCACCTCTCCTGCCTAAAAACAAATTCTTTATTTAGCTGACACTTGCCATCTTTTTTATTCCCTCTTGCATCCATTGAAACTGCCATACACAGTGGAGATTTCTTTCCTTTTCTCTCACATATTGTGTTAGGGAATAAACTAGATCATGAAGTCTAATCTAAATCATATAATACCACAAATAATAAACAACAATCAATATACAGTATTAACGTTTACTTTTAAAATACACATGAGGAGTTTCTATCAAAAAACAAACTGATATAAATAATCATAAATAATCACCATGGTCCATTGGTTATCTCACCTGTTTGAGAAGATTATGCTGGTGGTGCTCTATAGCATGCTTGGGGTCATACTGGTGGGCTGAGGGTGGGCCATGTGGGAGGAAGGTTGGAGGTGTTGCTGCCAGCATGGGATGGCCTAAAGGTAGTGGGGACGAATGTGTTCTGCCTAAGGGCCTCTGCAGGGTCCGGCCAGGTCGAACCTGAAATGAACCAATTACGGAGAATGTAATGTTAATAAATGTATTCAGAGATGAGTAGAGGGAGAACAAAAATAACAAGAAATATAAGAGAAAAATAAGTACAGAGTCACTGACTGCACTTACCTGTGCTTCACTCATGTTAGGGACAACACTGGGATGGTAGATGCCTCCTCTCATGATTCCGCCACCTGGACTAGTATCCATGGCTGTGACCAGCTGTTGACGACCCACAGTGGATGCTCCCGAACTGTATCCTTCA